CGGGAGCCAGGCGGTGGCGGGTGGCCCGGCCGGGCGCGGGAGCGGGCCGGCGCTGGGCCTGCGGGCCCGCGTCGGTGGGAGGCGGCGGCGATGTGGACCGGGCGGCGGGGCGAATCAAGACGCGACACGTGGCGACGGCGGGCTATCCGGACACGTCCGGCTCACGCGGTTTCGTCCGGCGACGGCAGGAGAGATGGATCTAGGGTTAGGGGTGGTAGAGACCCGGGATTTTCGAGGGGGTGTATATATAGGCATAAGTGGAGCTAGGAGAGTCCAAATGAGGTGCGGTTTTCGGCCACGCGATCGTGATCGAACGCTCTAGGACATGGAGCAGAGTTTGGTGGGTTTTGGGCCAAATTGGAGGGGTGTTGGGCTGCAACACACATGAGGCCTTTTCGGTCCCTCGGTTAACCGTTGGAGTATCAAACGAAGTCCAATTGATACGAAACTTGACAGGCGGTCTACCGGTAGTAAACCAAGGCCGCATGGCAAGTCTCGGTCCAATCCGGAAATGTTTAATCCCCACACACGAAAGAAAGCTAGAAATGGCCACCGGAGGAGAACGAAGCGCCGGAATGCAAAATGGGCAACGGGGAAAATGCTCGAATGCATGAGACGAACACGTATGCAAATGCAATGCACATGATGACATGATATGAGATGCATGAAAACGAAAACAACACACAGAGACAAAGACCCGAACCCGAGAAATAAATATAACTTAACGCCGGAAACGGCAAGAGTTGAAGTACAAAATAGGGAAGTTACATCCAGGGTGTTACACCAATTAACCAATCATCGTTTTAACTTTGACAAGTTCAGGGTCTGTATAAGATTGACTTGTCAAACGTTCGGCGGGTCATACCAGGATTACCTGGACAGGAGTGGCTTACTTGATGAAGGCAGGTTAACCCGGTGTTTTAGGTGAATACACCAGGCTTCCAAGCCGTGGCTTGATAGCCAATTACAAGGGTCCTTTCAAACTCTTTGTTGCTTTGCCAAAAAAGTCCCCAAGTAACTTTGTGAGCTGTGCTCAGTGGGTGCCCATGTTTGAGTTTGTGCTTTGTGCAACACTCTCTTTGGCCCCACATAATTTCTTTTATGGCTTAACGCCCATCAAAAGGTGTAGCTATGGTGTGATAACAACCAAGCCCCCTAGTGAAATCCCTTTGTGGTGTTTAAACCGATCACGAGGTGTAGCTATGGTGTGACAACAACCAAGCCCTCTAGTGATATCTTTTTGTATCTGTGCGGCTGCATAGACCGGTTTAACAAAACATTTCTTTGTCAATAGAAACTTTTGTAGGCATACACATTTAAAACTATAAAGAGGCTGGGCAACTCGTCTCCCTAGTTCTCTCTCGATTTACAGCATTCTCGTTCGTCCGATCCTGGTCAAACAGGTTTTTTTTCTCGTTGCTTGCCGTTGGATCTTGGCTGTGAATCAACATTTATCATTTTCACCGTGCGGTTGTTTTTGAGCCGGCAATGACCCGTGGGCTCGGGCGGGATCTAATTGGCTGGGTAGCTGTTTTTTAGGTGCACGCGCAGCCTCTCCTGCCGTGTCACGTGTGAGTCGTGGGCGCTGCGCGATTTCTCTTCCCGCTCGCTCCTCTGGGTGCATGCGGAAAAAGGTTGAGCCAACGCGTCCACACCCGTGTCTTCCTACCACACAATGATTGGTGGGCCAGATTGCTGCTGGTCCTACATGTCAGCTGGTAGGATGTGTGCAATCCATGTCACTTTGATTATGCTGGGTTGGATAGAGTAGTTGGCTGACTACTGCGCGCGTCGTGCCGAGGCTGACCTCCACGCAGTACCGGGTCCACTTACACGTCTTTTTTCTGGGTCGTCCGGTGCCCTCGCCTTTTTTGCCGGGTTGTTCGGCGCCTTTTGTTTAGTTTTTGAGAAGGCCACTGATGCTGGGACCGTGTCAAGGGCGGGGCCGGTGTCAGTTGCGCTGGGTTCGCTCGCTGCTGGGTTCGTGTGGCCGATCCACGGCTGGCAACTGGACGTGCGAGGCGTGCGCCCTGCAATGGTGGCAAACCCTTCCCCAATCACCACAGCTGCCGCACGCCTCCCTCCTTCCTCCTCGTCTCCAGAGCCGCCACACCTCTTCTTCCTCCTCGCCCGCACCCCTGCCGCGGCGCGCATCCCTCCCATCGTCGAGCCCCACCTCCCCTTCCCATTTCTCCTCCTCCCAGAACCATCTCCCGTCGCTTAGGCTTCATGGCGGCGGCCGGCTCGAGCGAGCCTGGCGCGGCAGGCGGAAGCAGCGGGGAGCGGCGGATGCGGGTGGGAGAGTGCCGGACGGCGCCGTCATTGTCACCCCGCTAAGCCGCATCGAAGAAGGACCAGTACCTCACCCCTCACCTCCCCACGTGAGTTCCTCTTTCCTAAATCAGCTCCGCTTTTCATGTACTTTCATTCTTGTTTCACATGTTGGTTTGGTTGGTAGGAGACGTTGAGCCGCCGACTGCAGTAGCCAGGGTTGTCGTTGGTGATGTCTATAGGTATTTTCGTCCTCGCCAGTTACAGTACAATTCCTAGGTTTGGTCAATGTCTCTGGAGCTATGGTATTATCCTTTGATTTCTCCTATATTTCCCTTCCTGATTTTGTTTGATGATTTGCTAGCTTATGGGATTGGATCTTCATTTTCCAAGATTCTTAGCTGATAATTATATTGTGCGGGAAAATCTCTATAGAATGATGTTGTGCACATCCAAATCCAAGCAATGTAAGTGACCTTAGCATTTCACTTGTGGGCTGCTACATTTCATACAGTTTCTGAATTCAACTACCGTTCATGTGTAGTTGGATACTCCATACGGCAAAGTTGATGCTTTGTACATCACTTTTTTATCTGTTTATTAATGTTTCTTCATGTTTGTCACTTGGCAGTGATCTGGGTTTCCATGTATTTGATAGATGCATTCCTTATCTTTATGTGTTCCGTCTATGTATATATGTTTCTGCCCATAAATGTATTTATGAGCTGGCTTCATTTTCCTTCCTTCCTGCTTTACTGACCATTTGTTTCCCTTCCTATTTTGCAGGCTGTTCCATCTTACTGATCTCGTGCAGAATCTCCGTTTAGCTCATTGCTACATCTCCATTCTGCTCGTCGGGCCTCGTCAAGGTTTTCTGCCATGATCTCTGCTTGTCTTGCTGCTCTACTTTCTATATGTGCTTTCATGTTCTATAGCCTCCTGATTGCTTATATCCTATTAGTAGCACCATGCCTCCCTGTCACCCTATTCATTTCTTTCATCGAAAGCTTTCTTAATAGGAAGGCATATAATGCTCAGTAAATACAACCTTAAGTTGGTGACAACTTGATATATGTGGTTCTCCTGTTACAGTGCTTCGATCAGTTAATACCCCCTCTGTTTGAAGGTTATGTGCAGTGTGTCTGTGCCATTAAAGAATTTAATATTTCTTTGAACTTCTGGCCTAGAGATTTATTTCATTTGGTCAAACTGGTTCCGAACTTCTGATCATAGCAGGCTACTACATAGAAGGTATGGCATAATTTTGTTGACAGAGCTTCTTCAAAATATCGGTCCTCATGTAATCTAACCATTACACTCCAATAAGGAAGGAACTCTTTCATTATTGGATCTAAAGTGTTTGCTTTGATCAGTTAATACTCCCTCTGTTCATAAATATAAGACGTTTTAGAGACAAGCTGCATATTTAATGAAGCATCCATTTGCTGTAGAAAGCATGTTTTATGGTCCTATACCAGGCAAGGTGTTCAGATGGCATAAATATATCATCGTGTCTAGGTTATTATCAATTTAAATAAATATCCATTTGTTGTTCCCCAGTTTAAGTAAAATTTTGTATTTGCAAAGCACAAGTTCTGTTCTGGCTATTATTTTATTGCCAGCCAACCTATATCTTCAACCTTCTCTTGCATAGGGCAGGCAATGGTTCTTGGTTGCTTTCAAAATAATCAACACCTCTTTAGGAGTACGGACAATATTGCCAATGTATATAGTCCGTGCTTTTGTCTTTAGTAATTTCACATCATTATCTTGTTTAAGCATCTAGATTATATATCTTCAGTAACCTATTTAACAATGCTTTTCAGCTTTTTTCCATGTTGTAACATACTTCCTGTGTTGTGTAATAATCTACTGATGGCCAGTTATAGCTTCGTTTTACTAGGATATTGCATATGATGTTCTTTATTCTCAGCAAAGCAAACATCTCATTTGTTTCTCATACTATTCTCTACAAAAAACTAGGCGTTTTGCTAAAGCTAGAGTCATGATGGCGCTAGTAACCTTGGTGATGCTTCTTGTATGGCAAACCAACTTGTATTTGATTATCCTATGGGTTATTTATCCGGATGTTGCATATTGGAGTATTGTGGAGCTAATAATATTTGAATCTGAGCTAGCCTACTATTTCAATTTGAGTTCAAAAATTACAAATCTCAGTGTTTGTTTTCAGTTATCAATCTTCTTCCCTTCTCCTTTTTTGGGTCACTTTTGATAGCTTCTTTCATTCTATACATATTAGTTGCCGCCTCAGGCCTTGGCACTTTTCAAGACAAGGCCTCAATTTACTAGAAAATGCAGTCTTCATTTACTGAGTTATATTTTTGTCTTGCTTTCTTCCAGGTCCCTCATACAGTGGTTCAGAAAAAAGACTATCCAATGGACATGATGCATGAGGAGCAGCAAGGTCATGATCCATGAAGCCCTATGTTCTTTTTCTCACTGGTGAGTTTACTTTTTTATGGTTGGATGCCAAGTAGCCAAGCAGATGCTTTTTCATAGATTAGTTGCTTAGTTTCATATGTTGAACTGCGTTGTCGAGTGCAGTGTGCAGGGTCTTTCTAGAATGCTTAGCAGGCGATCAACGCGACACATGTGGAGGCTGTGAGATTTGTGAATGACATATGTCTTGTCATACTTATGAGCAGGAGCACATGCCACATTATTCTTATGCCACTCTGAGCAGCCGAGCTGTTGACTGCTGCTTGAACCCTGTTTGAGTTCCTCTATGAAAGGATAAAGAGGGGGCATGCTGTTGTGGTTGTTGCTAAAGGCGTTAGTCAGGAGTTGATTATTCGGACTGATGACCAGAACTAAGAGCAGGATGAGTATGTCAACATGTTGTTCCTTGACGCTGGCCTTCTTCTATAAAGTTTACATGCAGCTCTCCTCCATGATTGGAAAAAAACCATTTTAAACGTTTGTTTCTTCGATGGTTACTCGTTTCTCTTACTGTTGTATCAAAACAAATGTATTTTCCTTGATGGCCGCCTGGGCTCATTTTCTAGGAGAATGAGATGTGGACAAACTATGAAATGTTTGGTTCCCTTTGAACAATTTATTAGCTAACTAACTTTGGTTGCTACTGCACATGATATAGTTGTACTCTGTTGTTGCCATCTTGCCTTTTATGTGAGCTTAAACATACAATCAATTAAACTTGTGCTAAGTTCTTACTATATGTATTTGCTCAAACACAGTTATTGAAACAATTCAAATATTTTAACGAGTACATGGTTTTAAATGGGACTCTCTGCTATTTGGTGCAATGAGTCATGTTATACAAATATTTTTTTGGCGCAACGGGCTATGCATATTTTTTTTCCAAACTCGGATTTCGCAATGTGATAAACATACTTTCAATATAGTATGGTTGAATACATGGGCTTTCTACTACTAATATCGAATATGTCCTTGAAAAATGAAACTATTTTCATCGACAACATGACTTTAGCGGGTCTCTGCGCCATTTGGTGCAATGGGTCAACTAGTGATGAAAAAAGAACAGAGACCCCGCTTTATTCGAGGCTCCGGTTTATTATATAATATGTACATTGCCATAAATATGTACATATGAAGAAGCCTGTGGCTTAAGTATAGTAAGGCCGAAGAAGAGCTATATTCCATGGCCGCTTGGTCTCCTCCTTCGATTTACGTGAGTCTTTGTGCTCTCGAACATCAATGAGGTAGTATGACCCGTTGTGCAGATTCTTGCTGACCACAAAAGGTCCTTCTCAAGGTGGGGATAACTTTTGCATATCGGTCTGATCCTGGATGAGCCGAAGCACCAGATTGCCTTCTTGAAAAGTTCTGGTCTTAACCCGACGCCTATGATAACGTCGAAGATCTTGTTGGTAAATCGCCGAACGTGCTGCTGCAAGATCATGCTCCTCATCTAACAGGTCCAGAGAATCCTGACGTGCCTTCTCATTATCCGCTTCAACACAAGCCGTCACACGGGGCGAGTCGTGACGGATGTCACTAGGAAGAACCGCCTCCCCTCCATAAACCATGAAGAAAGGTGTGTAACCCGTAGATCTGTTAGGTGTGGTGTTGATGCTCCATAACACAGAAGGTAATTCCTCCACCCAACAACCCGGTGTCCGCTTCAAAAGAACCATAAGCCGGGGTTTAATACCTCGCACAATTTCTTGATCCGCCCTCTCCGCTTGTCCATTGGATTGGGGGTGAGCCACCGATGCTATATCAAGTCGGATGTGCTCACGTTGGCAAAATTCCTCCATCTCTCCCTTTGACAGATTAGTACCATTATCAGTTATAATACTGCGTGGAAAGCCAAACCGGAATATCAACTTTTTGATGAACTGAACCGCCGTTGCCGCATCACACTTACTGACTGGCTCTGCTTCCACCCATTTAGTGAATTTATCAACTGCCACTAATAAGTGGGTCTTTTTGTCATTGGAGCGCTTAAAGGGTCCAACCATATCAAACCCCCAAGTCGCAAATGGCCATGTTATTGGAATCATCCTCAACTCCTGAGCCGGAATATGAGCACGGCCTGCTCCTTCTTTGTTTGATTTGACTGTAGGCACGTACCTTGTTCCGTTGACGGCTATCCACGCCTACCGGAACCCTACACCAGCCGAGGAGCCAGAGCCAGAACCACAATTTGATCCTTCACGATAGTCTAATTACCAGTGGGATCCGGAGATGCTTGTCAGCCAGTGGCAATCTGAGCCTTCTTCTTCCTCATCACAGTACGACCCCAACAACTATTATTATGGATATCCACGAGGCCAGCCGTGGCCATAGACCAACTTAGGCCAAAAGCCTAAGCTTGGGGGAGTACGTATTTCTCACCGACATTACATTTATGTTCACACACACACTCATTGCTAGATGTCGGTGCTCATACTTTTTCATTGTATCATCCATGCTAGTTTATTTTCTTTTATGCTTTCTTCTTGTGTGTTTGATAAACTTAAAGAAAAACCAAAAAAATTAGTAGTAGTTTACTTTTCTTGCTGTAGTGATAATTAAAAAGAAAACCCAAAAATATTTCCCGTTCTTCTTTTGCTTGTTGGGAGCTTTCCCGTGTAAATAGTTTTATTTCTTTTCTTTTCTTTGGGGGTCAGTAGGAGAAGACCATGATTAAATTGTTGAAGTGGCTCTTATATGCTTTATTGTTGATTTAACCAAGAGCCCATATCGCTTTGTCTTCTCCTGTTTATTGAATGCTCACAGATTCCAGCCTAGTCCAATGCACGTGCACTCTTATTATTATTCACATCATTCGGTCGTGCAAGTGAAAGGCAATAATGATGATATATGATGGACTGACTGAGATGAGAAAAGCTGGTATGAACTCGACCTCTTTTGTTTTTGTAAATATGATGAGTTCATCGTTCTTGATTCAGCTTGTTATGAATAAACATGTTTGTAATGACAATTAGAGATCATAGTTGCTTGTGCCATGCTTGATTAGCTATGAGTTATAATGGTTTACCTTGCGTGCCAACTTGCTATTAAAATGGTTATGATGTGGTATGATAGGGTGGCATCCTCCTCTGAATGATTTAAGTGACTTGACTTGGCACATGTTCACGCATGTAGTTGAAACAAATCAACATAGCCTTCACGATATTTATGTTCATGGTGGATTATATCCTACTCATGCTTGCATCCAATGTTTATTAATTTTAATGCATGTACATGGCTGTTGTCGCTCTCTAGTTGGTTGCTTCCCAGTCTTTTGCTAGCCTTCACCTGTACTAAGTGGGAATACTGCTTGTGCATCCAATCCCTTAAACCCCAAAGTTATTCCAGATGAGTCCACTATACCTTCCTATATGCAGTATCTACCTGCCGTTCCAAGTAAATTTGTATGTGCCAAACTCTAAACTTTCAAATAATCATCATGTTTTGTATGCTCGAGTATCTCATGTATCAACTAGGGCTATCTGTATCTTCCATGCTAGGCGGGTTATTCTCAAGAGGAGTGGACTCCGCTCCTCACTCACGAGAAAATGGCTGGTCACCGGGATGCCCAGTCCCACACTTTATGCAAACTAAATCAAAATAATTGGAAAACAAAACTCCCCCTGGGACTGTTGTTAGTTGGAGGCACTCGTTGTTTCGAGCAAGCCATGGATTGATGTTTGTTGGTGGAGGGGGAGTATAAACTTTACCATTCAGTTTGGGAACCGCCTACAATGTGTGTAGCATGGAAGATATCGCCATCTCTT